AAAAATGGAAATAGCTTTTCTTTTTTTCCCCCTAATGATAAAAATGTGTTCATTATAGGACACTGAAAAACTGAAAGATATAAAGAATCCCAAATCCCAACACTCAAAGATAAACAATATTTTGGTAAATACTCTTCCATACATTTTTGTTAAAATATGCATACATAAGTGTTTATCTTTCTGTGAACTGTTTTCTTTTTTCAATTTACGTATTAGTGGGATTGGTTGGTCCCTGTAGCCATGTATGTCTCTTCCCATTCATACTCAGACAGAAACCATTCCAATAGTTTATTATTTTTTAAATATTTATTTATTTTTATTTAAGGCTTCCCTTGTGGCTCAGCTGGTAAAGAACCCACCTGCCAATGCAGGAGATGCCCAAGACCTGGGTTCAATCCCTGGGTTGGGAAGATTCCCTGGAGAAGGGCACAGCAATCCATTCCAGTATTCTTGCCTGGAGAATCCCATGGACAGAGGAGCCTGGCGGGCTACAGTCCATGGGGTCACAAAAAGTTGGACACGATTTAGCAGCTATATACACATATACTTGATTTACAATTGTGTTAGTTTCAGGTGTTCAGCATAGTGATTCAGCTTTGTTACAGATTCTTTTCCATTTATAGGTTATTGCAAGACATTGGGTATAATTCCCTGTGCTATACAGTAAATATTGGTTGCATATCTATTGTACGTATAGTAGGTTTTTTTTTTTTTGCCACACCACATGGCTTGTGGGATCTTAGTTCAATGACTAGCGATAGAACCTGGGGCCACTGCAAGGAAAGTGCTGAGTCCTAACTACTGGACCACCATGGAACTCCCTGTATAATAGTTTGTGTAGTTATTCAAATCTATAAAATTACACCTTTTTGAGCAGTTAGTAACTTCTTTCTTTTTAAAATTCAATGGTAGGATACAGGCATTTCCCGTCTTATACATTTAGGTTGTTTTCTCAGCAGTGTCTTTAAAGGCTGTATAAGTATTCCACTATATGGTATTAATGTACACTAGGCTGTATAAATAGTCCAGATTCAACTGCTGCTGCTTCTGCTAAGTCGCTTCAGTCGTGTCCAACTCTGCGACCCCATAGATGGCAGCCCCTCAGGCTCCCCCGTCCCTGGGATTCTCCAGGCAAGAACACTGGACTGGGTTGCCATTTCCTTTTCCACTGCATGAAAGTGAAAAGTGAAAGTGAAATCGCTCAGTCATGTCACACTCTTAGTGACCCCATGGACTGCAGCCCGCCAGGCTCCTCCGTCCATGGGATTTTCCAGGCAAGAGTACTGGAGTGGGGTGCTATTGCCCTCTCCGCCAGATTCAACTAAGTGAACATTTAAGAGATTTACAACATGTCAGTGAACATTTCTGTTAATCTATCTTTGCAGAATCTTCCAATTTCTTCTCTAGGAAAATTCCTAGAAGAGGAATTGTTGTGAAACAGGGTATATACATTCTAAGATTTTTTTTTTCATTCTAAGATTTTTTAAAGATATATTCATTTATTTATTTGGCTGTGCTGGGTCTTAGTTGTGGTATATGGGATCTTAGTTCTCCAACCAGGGATTGAACCTGAGACCTCCGGAATTGGGAACATGGGAGTCTCAGCAACTGGACCACCAGGGAAGCCCCTACTTTTAAGATTATGATACCCATTTGTACTCCTACCAAGAGTGCACAAGAGTGGGTCTTTTGTACATCTTATCAATTTGAAGTTTTGCTAATTTTTTAACCTTTGCCAATCTGATAAATGAAAAAAAAATTCACTTACTTTATTTGCATTTCTGTGATTACTGGTGAGGCTGAATATCTCTTCATGTGTTTATTGGCTATTTATATTTCTTCCTGTGCAAATTGTCTGATCATGTCCTTTGCTGATTTATGTGCTAGAACATTTGTTTTTCTTTTAACTTTAAGAGCTCTTATGTTAGATATGTTAACTGTTTATTACATATGTTGAAAGTACCTTTTTCTAATCTGTGGTTTGTCTTTCAACCTTGCTTATAGTACCATTAGGAAGATTTTAATTTTTATGTGGTAAAACATCATTTTTCCATTTTGATTCTGGTTTCAGATCATGTTTAAATCTTGTTGTGTTTATAAAATATTCACTCAAACTTCCTTTAGAAGTTTTATGATTCAATTTAGCCTTTGATTAATTCAGAATTCATTTTGGTATATGAAGTAAGTCAGGGATTTGGTTTTATTATTTTTTAAAATGGCTATCTCACTTCAATACTTTTTCCTGACTAGCTCTTTTCTCCACTGATTTGAATCCTTTCTATATATACTTGGACCTGTTTCTGGACTCTATTTTGTTCCATTTCTCTGCATGCACTATTACCATACAATTTTATTTATGGTAGTTTTAATATCTAGTAGAATAAGCCCATTCCTTGCTTCATTATTAATTTGTTTTTGGAATTTTCCAACCTATACTTACATATTCTAGAGGTCTTTTTCTTCTTTTGACAAGGTGTAATGCTTATTATCTAATTTGTATTCTCAGTTGCTTATTCTCTTTTAATCCACTCTATTAATGAGAGTCTTAATAAGCTCTCATTAGAGTCCAAGCTGTTCACCTGCCTTATGTACTATCTCACTATTTCTGCACTAATTTGTTAAAGGGTTGGAGTGGAAAATTTATAGTTTATGCTAGGGGAAATGGAAGATAATTTACAGCAAGTTGAGTGCTGCTTAATGGTATTTCACTGCTCACTCTTGCATGTCCTCAACATGCACCAGCTTCTTTTATCTCCTTTCCTCTGCTTGCTGTCTTTTACTTTTTTTCTGTCTCTTAATCCTCACTTACTTGTAACATCTAAAGAGGCTATCGAGACCAAAAACAAAAACATTGGAGATACCCATACAACATAAGGGTTTTTCACCTTTCTGCATATTTTCCTTTTTTCACTGGCCCTTTCAATGCAGCAGTGTCAGCTCAGTAAGTAAATATGACGTTGGAGTCATATTTGCAGTCAGTATTGATCAATTGAGTCACTTGATTCCTGGATGCCTTATATAATCTTGGATAATATAATAGCCATTCTACTACAGACATTGTTAGAAACTAAGAGCTCTCAAAGGACCTCTGTAGGCTTGAGAACTGAGGTCTAATTATCATCCTGTTTGTCATACATTGACATGAATCAGCCATGGAGTTACATGTATTCCCCATTCCGATCCCCCCTCCCACCTCCCTCTCCACCCGATTCCTCTGGGTCTTCCCAGTTTTGTTCATCCATGAACAAAGGAGTTATGCTACAGTCAGGAGCTTGGGTGGGATGATGGAAGTTGGGAGCTTTTAACTGCCAACCAGGAAATAGTGAATTACAAAGGGAACTTAAATTTGATAAGTACCTACCATAAGCCAGCCACTGTTTTAGATGTTAATATGCACACTATTCCATTGAACCAAAAGCCTAGAATGACTTTTATTCCCATCTTACAGATGGGGAAATTGAGGTTCTGAGATTCTAAGTAGCTAGCTCCAGGTCACACAGTATGTAGTGCATAAAGATTCAGTCAATTATGGGATACTCCACTGCCTTTGGGCTTTCCAGGTGGCTCGAGTGGTAAAGAATCCACCTGCCAATGCAGGAGATGCAGGTTCGATCCCTCAGTCAGGAAAATCCCCTGGAGGAGGAGATACCACACTAATATTCTTGTTTGGAAAATCCCCATGGACAGAGGAGCCTGGTAGGCTACAGTCCATGGGGTCACAAAGAGTTGGACACAACTAAGCAGTTGAACACACACACACACACACACACACACACTGTCTTTTTCTACCATATTTCTTCCCCTAATTTAGCAATCTAGGGTTGTGAATTATATACGAGGGTATATATAGAGGTATGTAGAGGAGGATCCAAAAGAAAAGTATTTAACAGCAGTACTTCCTGTTTTCCCCCTTTTCTTCATGATACTATGTGATTTAGATGGAGAAAATTTAGATGGAGAAAAAAGAGGGAAAAGAAATTATTTTTAGAAATCTCATCTTTTCCATAGTAAATAATGACTGAATATGAGACTCTCAGGGTCACGAGGAAGCTCTATTAGTGTTCCCAGATTTGAAGCCATAATCTCTTCTCTTCATCTTGTTAGCCAGCTCCACATCTGGCTTGACTGAGGTGCACAGGGCTTAAAAGAGGGGTATGTGAGGCAAGAGGGGGGAGGCTTGTTAATGTTTTGATATGGGGTGTTTCCAAATATGGAGATATCATATCTTTTTTTTTTTAATAGTTCTACCACTTTATTGCTACCAACCCATCTCCCTCCACCCTTGTGCACACATGCTCAGTCATGTAATCCCATGGACTTCAGCCCGCCAGACTGTCCATGGACTTTTCCAGGAAAGAATACTGGAGTGGGTTGCCATTTCCTTCTCCAGAGATATCATATCTTAACACTGCTGTCTCTGAGTGGAGATTTCAGCAGAGGCCAACTCCTTGCTTGCAAGCATCACTCATATATTTAGCTGGAATCAAACATATTCATATATATATATTCCACACCATCAATGAAATCATTTGTTTGGAGTTGGGTAGGTCCCTTGCCCTTGCTGTGAATCTGCAGGGGAGTCATTGGGTATTTTTCTTAAGACTTGACAAGGGCAGGGCAGCAGAAACATATATTGGAACTCAGGGTTTTTCAGCCTCCTCAACCTGACGTTATGCTACTCTTGAATGTCAGTGGGCAACATTGTTTATTTTACTTACTTTTCTTTCCTCCCTCCCTCCCTTTTTTTTTCTTTTGAAGACCTGCTCTCCTCTTTCCTGTAACCCTCACCATCTGCACTCTTCCCATAGTAACTGCAGGATGTTTTAGTATTACACTATACTCCCTCACTCTCAGTGATTCTCACGCAGCCCTCTGAACTGCATCACCAGAACTTCATGTACAGACTGTGCCTGGAAGCTCAGGCTCTGCATCTGAACAGCTCTGCGACGGCTTTGCGACGGGGGCCTTTGATTTACGTCACTATTGGGGGAGGAGCTTTCTTAGCGTCCAGCGTAGTTCGGCGTCGTTTCGGCGTCGTTCGGCGTCGTTTCGGCGTCGTCCGGCGTCGTCCTGGCGTCGTCCCGGCGTCCTCCGGCGTCGTCCCGGCGTCCTCCGGCGTCGTCCGTCCGGCATCCTTTGCGGCATTCTCTTTTTCGACGACGACTACTGCGGACTCGGTTTGCAGAGGAGCGCGGTGGCATTGGCTGTGCCGGCTGATGTGAGTGATTTTTTGGTCGGAAGTGCTAGAGGAGGGTCAGGTACAGGTTAGTTGGGTGGTTTCTTTTTTTGGGGGGGGGGTGGTGGTTTCTATTTAGCGAGGAGATGCTGCCGTTAGGTTACCACTTAAAAAAATATTTAATCAGAGGATAATTACTTTACAATATGGTGATGGCTTCTGCCAGACATTAACATGAAGCGGCCATAGGCAAATACTTTTTAAAGTGGTTCTGACGCAGTGATTTTGAACTATGGAACTGACTCTCGGGTGAAGGAAGGTGGGCAAAAGGTAGGGTTTGGGGACATGGATGAAGTATGGACAGTGGTGTGGGGCCACCGAAAGTGGGAAATATTTATTGTAGTTTGGAGGTGAAGGACTTAAAATTCGGTTGAAGCTGCACGGTTAGTGACCGTTGGGGGCAGGGAGCTGAGGCGCTCGCTGGGTCTGTAGAGAGCGGGAAAATGGACGGTCAGTGATTGGATGGTTTGAAGGTAGAGTGGTGGGGGGATGGGGGGGAGATTTTGAACCAATTAGAGGAGGCGACAAGCAGACAGACCAATCACAGGGTAGCCCGAGCCCGGGGGCGGTTTTTGTGTCACGGGACAATCCGCTCCGCCTCCAAGCGGAGTTCGCGTCGCAGGAGCTTGACCCTGGCCTTCGTTAACTGCTTTTTCTGGGTTTAAAAATTTCCTCAGCATTTTTTCTTTCGGAACAGAACTGACAGGAAAAATTTGAAAATAAATTTGAGAAGCTGGAGAATAAAGGACAGAATATTAAAATATTTTCTTATTTCATAGGCCTGAGCCAGAGATTCCAAAATGGACAACGGTGATTTTCACCTCGTGGGCTTTAAAGGTATCTAGCTTTACACTAGAAAATGTCAAAATAGTAAAGAAAATGTTTAACTGTTTGCTGCCTTTTCTGAGATCTTCTGAATGTATTTTGTTTTCTAATTTTGTCTCTTCGGAGTATCCATAGCTCCAAGTTTTCTCATTTACGTATTGGAAAACAATGTTAATGCTTAAGACACTGGAATCCTTTTATAAACTATCGTAGGGAAATAGAACTCACAATTTATAGCTTATTTTCTTGGGATTTTTGTGCGTGTGTAGTAACACTGGTTTAATCTGAAATAGAAATCTGTGTTAAAAGGATATTAAAAAAATTACTGCTAGATCCTAAAGTGCCTGTCCATAATCATCAGTGAAAAATAAATTATATCCTGTGTAGCATTAGGTTTAAGTGCATTTTGTTGTATCTTAATTCTTTTGAAAATTGGTACTCAGTGGATGATATTTGCGTGAATTCTTAGTTAAGAAAGCAGTTCAATTGACTAGAAAACCAGATTCCGCAACCATGCCAGGTATGGAAGAGTTTACTGTATTTCTTTTTTGGGGGGACATGATTAGACCCATGGTACATTTGCATTCATGTTCATATAATAATGAAATATGTCATAACCAGATTGGCTACAAATCTGTGATTTAAAAAAGTTTAGGTCAAAAAAAAAAGTTTGGGTCAGTATTTTGTTAATGCTTATCATTTTACAACAACAACAAAGCCCGCTACCGCTTACCTTGTTTTTATTTAGGATATGCTATTTTAGGGCTTTGCTTGTGGCTCAGCTGGTAAAGAATCCGCAGGCAACTTGGGAGACCTTGGTTTGACCCCTGGGTTGGGAAGATCCCCTGGAGACAGGAATGGCTACCCACTCCAGTGTTCTGGTCTGGAGAATTCCATGGACTGTTTAGTCCATGGGGTCGCAAAGAGTTGGACACGACTGAGTGACTTTCACTTTGATCTTAAGGATTAAAAGCATTGAGTAGGGAAAAAAAAAAAGCATTGAGTAGGGATTATTACTTTCAAATATATTGTATTTGAGACCTGGTATTTACATAAATATTTGAAGCACACAGAAAAATTTAAGAAGAAGAATATAATGAAGACCTGTAAAACTAACACTAAGTTCTCTTGAATCTTCACATTTTGCCACATACTTCTAAAAGATTGTGCTTAGTCGCTAGGTTTTGTCCGACTCTTTGCAACCCCATAGACTGTAGCCTGCCAGGCTCCTCTGTCCATGGGAATTCTCTGGGCAAGAATTTTGGAGTGGGTTGCAATACCCTTCTCTAGGGGATCTTCCCAACCTAGGGATCGAACCCAGGTCTACTGCCTTGCAGGTGGATTCTTTACCATCCGAGCTCCCAGGGATGCTCTCTAAAAGATTAAGGTGCCTTTTTTTCCCATCTTTTAAATTATATCATTTTGTATGATTTTTTTCCTGCAACTTGGTTTTTTTTTTTTTTTGACTATTTACCCATACAGATACTTTAGCTCTAGTTCATTTATTTACATTGCTTATTAGTAATATTACACTGACTATAAGTGTACCACAATTTATTTATCTAACCTCAACAGCATTACAACATTGTGTTTTGAAGAGCTTATCAGGAGCTTTCAAACATTTTTGACTATCACCACCACCTATGGAAAGGAAATATATTTTCTATCATATTTTGGTATATAAAAACTGTATCAAAAGTTTAATGAAATCATTTTACCCTTAATACATACAGTGCATGTGTATGTAATATTTTCTGTTCTATGCTTTTTGAATGGTATTTTCTGTTCTATGCTTTTTCTTTTAAAAATGTAAATGTTGGTTATGATTCATTAAATTAATTTATTTCTTGAGCACTAGTGGATGAAGCTCTAGGGCAGTGCTGTACAGTTGAAACATAGTGCAAACGTAAAGAATTTTGTATTTTTTGTACCACATTAAAAAAGCTTAAACAGATGAAATTAATTTTAACAATACAAATTATTCAGCTCAGGTATATCCAAAATGTTATCATTTCAACATGTAATCAATATAAAAATTATTAATGAGATAGTTTACATTCTTTTTCTTTTCTATTCAAAATCATTGAAGTCTAGTATGTGTTTTATATTTAAAGCATATCTCATTTTGGACTTGCCACATTTCAAGTGCTCAATAGTCTAATATGGCTAGTGGCTACCCTATAGTGGCAGTGCTACTCTGGATTGTAATTAAGAACTTGAACTGCTGGGTGAAATGCTATAAGCATCTTTAACTTAACAAATATTGCCAAATTATTGTCAAAAGTAATTTGAACAATTTATACTGCCTCTTCCTTTCTCTTTCCCTATTATTCTTTCTAATATTTGCTTTTATCAGACTTAAAAAATTTTACATGTTTGAAGGGTGGTGTTGTTTTTAAGTAGCATTTTATTTTAGGACAGTTTTAGATTTACAGAGTAGTTACAGAGAGAGTATAGAGAGTTCTTAGATACTCCTCAGCCAGTTCCATTTGCTCTAATGTTATCATATTACATGGATGTTTTAATTTGCATATCTGTTAAGTAGTGAAGTTGGGTATATTTTCATAGATTTATTGTCCATTTGAGTTTTATCTTCTGTGTACATAACCTTTTTAGTCAAGTTTTGTAAAAATGGATCACAAAAGGCCACTTGATGGCTTAGCTTATTTTCTTGTCAGGGAGAGTTGACATAGCAACTGTCTTTTTGTATCAACAAGTCCAGTCAATTTCAAGGTCAAAAAGGAACAGAAATTGGTCTATATTATACTCATTGTGTCTAAATAATTGTGACTCCTTTTCTGCATGTCAGCTCTTCAACTATTTGAAGATACTTCTGTCCCTGGAAAGTCTCTTCTTCAGACTCAGCATTTTTAGTTCTTTTAGTCATTCCTCATATTATGTGGATTCTAGTCCTCTCATCATTTTGTGTGCTGTCGTTTGAACATGCTCTATTTTTTTCATGTTATTCCTTAAAGTATGGTACACAGAACAGAACACAATTCTCTCGGTTCAGTATGATAAGCTCAAAATAACCTTTTGCTTTAGATTTAGAAATGATCATTGTTGTTTTTAGATACTATTATAGCTAAGATTGATTTTTTTTTTTTCCTTTTTTTGGGAGCTGGCAATCACACCATACTAATGACTTATTTTAAGCTTTTGGTCCCCAGAAGACCCTCAGTCTTTTTTTAATACATGCTTATATTAAGCTACATCTTGACTGTCATATATTGGTAGAGTTAGTTTCAGAGACTTAAATGCAGGACTTTTTGTTTCTTACATTAATGTCATTCTGTAATTGGGGATTTAATTTTTGTTCCTGATTATATCTTGTCTCTTACTTCGTGTCTGTTTCTCTCTCAACTTCTTCATGCAAATCATTGATGAAATTGTTAAATAGAGTAGAGCCAAGGGCAGAATGCTATGTTATTAAATACTTAAGACTGACATTAATTCATTAGGCAGCAAGCTCTAAGTATGCTTTTTAAAAAAGTATTTTTTTAAATTAATTTTTATTAGAGTATAGTTGATTTATAATGTTGTGCTAGTTTCTGCTTACAGCAAAGTGAATCAGTTATACATGCATATGTATCCACTCTTTTTTAGATTCTATTCCCATATAGGTCACTGCAGAGTATTGAGTAGCATTTCCTGTGCTATATAGTAGATTCTTTAGTTATCTGTTTTATATAAAGTAGTGTGTATCTGTTAATCCAGTCTCCCAGTTTATTCCTCCCCTCTCTTTCCCCCTTGGTAACTAAAAGTCTGTTTTCTACATCTGTGACTCTATTGCTGTTTTTTTTTTTCTATTGCTGTTCTGTAAATAGGTTCATTTGTACCATTTTTTTAGATTCCATATATAAGCAATATCATATATTTATCTTTTTCTGTCTGACTTCACTCAGTGTGACAATCTCTGGGTCCATCCATTTTGCTGCAGATGAAATTATTTTGTTTTGTTTTGTTTTTTTGGATTTTATTCCTGTTTGTGTGTGTGTAACCACATTCCTCCTTTGATGGACATTTAGATTGCTTCCATGACCTGGGTATTGTAAATAGTGCTGTCGTGAACATTGGGGCACATGTATCTTTTCAAATTATGGTTTTCTCCAGATATATGTCCATGAGTGGGATTGTTGGGTCATATGGTAGCTCTGTATTTGGCTTTTTAAGTAACCTCCATGCTGTTTTCCATAGTGACTGTACCAATTTACATTCCCACCAGCAGTGTAGGAGGGTTCCCTTTTCTCCATACCCTGTCCAGCATTTAATGTTTGTAGATTTTCTGATGATGGCCATTCTGACTTGTGTGAAGTGATACCTCATTGTAGTTTTGATTTGCACTTCTCGAATAATCAGTGATGTTGAGCATCTTTTCATGTGCCTCTTGGCCTCTGTATTTGGAGAAATGTCTGTTTAGGTCTTCTGTCCAGTTTTTGACTTGGGTTGTTTGTTTCTTTGATATTGAGCTACATGAGCTGTTTGTGTATTTTAGAGAGCAATCCTTATTGGTCGCTTTGTTTGCAAATATTTTCTCCCATTCTATGTGTTGTCTTTTTATTTTGTTTATGGATTCCTTTTTTTTGGCTGCTCCGCAGCATTTGGGATCTTTAGTTCTCTGACTAGGGATTGAACCCACGCTCCCTGCATTGAAAGCACAGAATCTTAACCACTGGACTGCCAGGGAAGTCCTTGCTGCGCAAAAGCTTTTAAGTTTAATTAGGTCCCATTTGTTTATTTTTGTTCTTATTTTCATTACTCTAGGAAATGGATCAAAAAAAAATCATTCTGTGGTTTATGTTAGAGAGTGTTCTACCTTTTCCTCTAAGAGGTTTAGAGTATCTGGTCTTACATTTAGGTCTTTTAATCTATTTTGAGTTTATTTTTATGTATGGTATTAGAGAGTATTCTGATTTCATTTTTTTTTATGTAGCTGTCCAGTTTTCCCAGCACTACTTATTGATGAGGTTCTTTTTTTTTTTTTTAATATTTATTCATTTATTTGGCTGTAC